AACATTCATCGCCTGCAAAGGTGTGTATGAAACTGATGTCAAGGAATGTGTCTGTTTGGCGGAACATTCATCGCCTGCAAAGGTGTGTATGAAACTGATGTCAAGAAGTATCCCCGACTCTTTTGGTGCGGGTGGGTGGGCAAGAAAAATTTCTGCAACTTACATGCGCAAAGTCAATGGCTTGTTCACAGCTGGATAGCATGTTGTGTCACTCGAAGCTTATGCACGATCGGCTTCAAACTACCTTGAGATGTCGAGCGCGGGTACAGAAGATACAAGATAGCGCCACTTGGGCTAATGTTGACAGAACATTTTTCGGCAGCCGTTTTCCTTAAAAATCAAAGTCCGATTTTCAAGAAAACACAAGCTCAAGATATTAAGGGACTATCAGCGCACGCACTGACGGCCTCCTTAATATCTTGAGCATAAACGGCTGCCGGTTAGGAATCACATTAGGAAGCTCGGGCTTTCGGCTTGAACGCTCAACCCCAAACAGGCACAGAAGGGGTACTCAGCTCTCGCAAGGCTCTGCTGTTTTTCACCGGCGGTGACAAGGGGTACCTTTGTGCGAAGAGGCATTTAGCCTCATACCTGCAGCTACGGCTACAAATGGCGGAACAATCATCGCCCGGCGGAACAATCATCGCCTGCCCAGGAATGTGTGTGTTTGGCGGAACATTCATCGCCTGCAAAGGTGTGTATGAGACTGATGTCAAGGAATGTGTCTGTTTGGCGGAACATTCATCGCCTGCAGAGGTGTGTATGAAACTGATGTCAAGAAGTATCCCCCACTTATCCGTCTTATCATTTTTTTTTTGGAGGGTAATCCAGGACACCACTGCGTCCTTCACGCTTCACGCGAAGGCTTGTCCGATGTGTTTGATGGGCGTGAAAAAGCGAGGCTCATTGACACTTCACATGGAGGCTCATCTGCCATGCTGGCCGGGTGTGGCACCTTAGGCGGACTAAGACAGGGTGGTGGTCGACGAACGCGCCGTTGAAGAGAGATGCTGTGCACTGCATACACGATTGTAGCATTCCGCGATGAACCGCCGATTGACACGCCTTGGGCGGAGCCGCAACATGCATAAGTCCCCGAAGGTTTCCTTCCCGCCAGTCTTCTCCCTGGGTGCGGACACTGTTGTGACAGTGCCTCAAAGACAGCAATTTTGAACTTGCCCCTCCTAATGGCGTGTCGTATGTTCAGACAGCCCTCGAAGAGAATCCCAGGGATCAAAGCCTGTACTAGAAGTAGACTGCACCTTCTGCCGAAGAAGGTGCTTCCACTCGTCGGAAAGAGATATCAATGAAGGTATGCAGGGTATTGGCCGAGGCGGTCCTTGGTACACAAGACTGTTGACCCTGGGTAGGTCTGGAGACCGAAAAGTAGCTTGAGTTGCAACGCCGCAGGGGCTCACTTCCGTCCAGCAGCCGTACATGCTAGGGCAAAAATTCGTAACCAAGAAGTTATTCTGACAAGCTGGCCCTCCTTCTTGCAAGGATTATGCTGCCCCCAGCACATGGGAGATCTTCCTGGCTGAGATCGTGGTCGTCGAGAGCGAAATGCGACAGAGTCGCCACCTCCGAGATGCTACTCTCTGCGCGGAACAGGCCTTCTCTGGCGGAGACTCTCGTTATCAACCTGCGCTCCAGGGTAACACAACTTCAGGGTAGGTGCTGCTCGCGTTCTCAACACCTTACAACCCAATGGCCTGCCTAGGGTGAAATCGATACCACGATGGAACCGTCTCACATCCGACGAAGTAGCAGCGTCACCTGACCAAGCTTATGCATTCGTCGACGAGATGGGCAATGTTGATCACCGAGCCCAGCTCCCAATGCGCGGCCTCTAGCGTGCTACTCAAAGAGCACCAAATCGCACCAGGTGGGAGCGCCTACAGCTATTGCGTCACCTTGCGCCCAAGCTGTCGAGACAGACAACACACGCTTCCCTGAGGTCGTCCCGCGAGACAAACATTTGCCCGTACCCCCTTAAGGACTCACAAATTTAAGCTAGCAGTCCTAGACACCTTCTGAAGTCATCCAAGACACTTGGCAGCCTCGCCTAAAGATCGATGCCTGGAGTCCCTTGGTGGCTCTGAAAACACACTGATTCCTTTATCGGGAAGGTCAACAATCTAGCGGGCTTCTCGAACCATTCGGGCGGTTCGGACGAACCGGTCGACTGTTGCCAAGGTCAGCTGGCAAGTGAACCAACTCAAGCAGTCCGGACACAAACTTTCTGCTGATTGTCAAATGTGCGGGAATTCGGCTGGGTCTATCGGCCAATGAAGCTTGACTTCTTAATCGACCTTTAGCTCAGAGGCCTGGACATCGGTTCACGATTCACTGCCCCAGGAGCACAATCGCCTGGGCTGCTGCTCTGTCTATTCAAAAGCACAGGGGAGGGGTCTAGTTCAGGGTGCCTGACTTATCACGTACCCCCCCCCCCCCTGCCGGCATTGCACACAGCACTCCACAATTGCGAAAACTTTGGGTCCCTTAGAAGCCACTCAGCCGAATGTTGGCTTGTCTGGCTGGCATCGCTTCGGCATCGCGGCGCATCTGCATCACCCGAGAGCGTCTCGGGTCGAATGTTGGTTCGTCCTGTAGGCATTGCTTCGCACTCTCATACACGCACTGCCCGACTGCAGAAGGCAGCGACGGGTCAGAGCGTTTGTTGACTTGTCAGCTTGAAAATCCTCGATTGTCCGCCAAGCTTTCGGGACGCCTCGATTGTGCCGTTCGCTTGCCCAGCAGGCATTGCTTCAGCATAGCCGGCATTGCCAAATCATCTAAATTTGTGTAACATCTTAACGCGGAGGGCAGCGACGGACCGAAATGTTTGGCAACCTGTCAAGCTTTGGGATGCCCCACTTGGGCAGCTTAATCATGAACTCTTTGGGGACTCGGCCAAGTCTTTGGAATGCCTCATTTGGGCCGCTTAAGAGGGAATTCTTCAGGGGCCTTTGGGATGCTTCACTTGGGCTGAGTAAGGTGTGAGCTTATTGGGATGAGTAAGGTGTGAGCTTATTGGGAATCAGCTAAGCTTTTGGTGGGGGGCCTTTGAGAAGCCTTACTCGGGCCGCTCTGTGTGAGCACTTGGGAATACAGTTAAGCTTTTGGGATAACTTGGGTCGCTTAAGGTGTGAGCTTGTTAGGGATGAATCAGGCTATGCTTTTGGGAGCTTCGTTTCGGCCACTTGAGCATGAACTCTTCAGGGACCAGGCTAAGGGACAATGATAGGCCCCAAGCCAGTTCGAACTTCCACTTCCCCTCTTATCCGTTGGAAACTTGGAGCGGGTGATATGAGCAACGGTCGACGTGTAAGCACGCATTATGCAGTGCATAGGTGATGTCGTGGCGTCCAGTACATCGATGGGCTGGACGACCAGGGAGAGGCGAGCAGGTCATTGGACAAGGAGGGAGCGGCAGGGTGTGTACGAGGACCCGGCTCCAGAGGACGTACAGCATAAGATTTGCAGAATGCAAAATTCGCGGGCTTGGGCTGCAGGGTTAGGGCTTAAGCACAAGTGTGCAATATAGCGCACAGCTGAAGGTGGCGGCCAGCCAAGGCGCAGACGGCTCCTGTTATGGGAGCAAGTGAGAGCGGCCTGCTCAAGACCGAAACAGCAAGTAGTGCGAAAGGACCCGCAGGACGAGGGCTCGAGAGCCGCGGATGCAGAAGGAGCAGGGGAAAGGGCTTTGAGTGGCTCGCGATTGCGATTGGTGAACAGAAGGCAAACCAGAGCGACAGCAGAAGTCAGAGGCAGCAAGGCGGCGGGCGCAGGCAGTACGGAGTGGTCTATGCAGCAACAACTGAGATATGGTGATTGTGACACGCCCCGAGGGTCCACAAGCGGCGAGGCGGGGTTAATGCACCGAGGGGTTCTACATTTCCATCTAGCCGCAAAGTATACTCTCACAAATTTCTATAATTCATATGTAAACATATTCACATCATGTGTACAACGTTGCAGTTCGATCCTCTCCTTTTTGGCGGTAAGACACTTCGTGCAGCAGCATAATGTCAAATGCAGATGCAAGAATGTGTACGAACACCGGCTGCAGAAGTGTAAGAGTACCAAAAGCAAGGACCATAAAACAAGTATTGAGATAGCCAAATATACCACAGGATGTACGCCGGAAGTCGTATGCATTCAATGTCCGCACTTCAATGTACAGAGAATGTACAATGCACCGATGTCTTGACTATGCACCGTAAGACATGCACAAAGCGAATGCCACACCACACAGGGCGGGCGGGCGGGGCCTTTCTTGACCTTTCTCTGCTCGAGCAGCTTTGCGGCTAGATGAGCAAGAAGGATGAATCATCATGCGTTAGAACAAAAATGTAAAACAGTTTTGAGCAAGCACAAAAAGCGTTCTACATTTCCATCTAGCCGCAAAGTATACTCTCACAAATTTCTATAATTCATATGTAAACATATTCACATCATGTGTACAACGTTGCAGTTCGATCCTCTCCTTTTTGGCGGTAAGACACTTCGTGCAGCAGCATAATGTCAAATGCAGATGCAAGAATGTGTACGAACACCAGAACCGTAAACTGCCACAAAGGAGAGGTCGGACTCGCAAGCACTGCACTCCCACTACCGAAACGTGAGGCCGACAGAACCTGAGTGGTGAGTGGGCATTCCGCCCAAAGAAACGTCACCGCATACGGCTGAAGATAAAACAAAGTATATGAGAAGCATAAAGTACTCAACTAGCAGTGACGCCCTGCGTATGCAAGCAGACCTAGTTGCCTGCAACTCATGCCTATCGCATTCACTGATGCATGTTCTGCATCTCACAACACCGCCCTCAGGGGAACGCATGTGCTCACGGGGGAAGGCAAGCCGACCGCGCGCCGTGAGTGTCGAACCCCGACGATGATGCACATCAACACCGGTGTTGCAGGAACCCCAAGAGCCCACGGGGGAAGGCCAGGCCGACCGCGCACCGTGAGATGTTGAACCTGCCCGATGCCGAGTGCTTACACGCTGTGTGCATTGAAGGAAGATACAGGCGGCTGCCAAAGCAAGTTAGCCTGTGGCGGGAAAACGCGAACATCTCGCTCGCCCTCCCACAAGACTGTGAGTGGGCAACGAACCCTGTGATCCAAGGTGAACCGGGAAGGAAGTTCCTGCAAGTCGCCTTTCCACCTGCTCAAGAAATCAGCTTTATCATTGTGACATCCCGCGATATGGGTACAATCGAGAGAGATTCCAGACTGCCAACTCCGCGTAGCCAGTTTCTGAGCAAAGAAACACAGCGGTGTATGTACTGTGAAAAGCTTGTTCGTCAAGGACTCGGTCCCCGAATTATCCGACCAAGATGGGATGCATACCCGAAGTCGCCCAGTAGGAGTGATGGAAATGAAAGCGATCAAGAGAGCCAGTTGTGCCAGCGTCTCATACGCTGTAATGTCCAAATTAGCATCATCTTTCATGGGCAACCCCAGCGAACGGAAATCTTGGACCGTAAACCATTCGGAAAACCAAACAATGGGCTGATTTGGCAATTCAACCCATCCGCCAATCCCAATGTCGTTGCCCTTAGCACAAGCGTCAGCAGCTAATGAATACTGAAAGTCCAAAGGCGGCAAAGACAAGCAGCGGGGCATCTGAGGCCGCATGCAAAAGTGCACCCAGAACATGATGAACTGTCTGCTCACCGTGCTGATTCGACGCTTGCTAGATGATGCATCCGCCACACGAATCCAGACACGCTTGCCTGTGGCCCGCACCAAGCGCAAGTCCGCTTTGCACTTGATTTCCACATGTCGAGCACTCAACAACTTGCTGCCCGGGGGGATGGTCGACCCTGGTGGCGATTTGCGGAAATGCAAGTCATCAGTCAAGGTGTCTGCTAACTGTTGCCAGGCACCTGCATGCAAAGAAAAATTTGTGCGCAAGGGACGAGACATGTCGTGATACAAGCAGCACAGCCACGGTAGCAACTCGGGCGACATCTGTAGTATCCAGTGAAGGAGACCGATGAGAGCCTGCAAATCCCGCTTGGTGCAAGGGTCGGACCGGATCACTTGCATCAGGCTTTGCAAAAGTTTGGCCACTTTAGGAGCAGGCAGACAAAAGGTGCCTGCACGGAAATTAAGCTGCCACCCAATGTATTCCAGCTTGGGCCCCAGCTGGAGCTTACGCCAACTGATCGGGTATCCAAATGATTGTGAGAATGCCACCATCAGGAGCGCGGAAAATTCAATGGCGGAACTGTGCTGAAGGAGTAATGCGTCATCCACGTACATAAGTAGGACGTGGCTGATGAAGATCAGGCGATGGCCGGTGCGAACATAAAAGCCCGCGACGCGTTGCCACCACAACGCTGAAAAAGAACCTCCAAATGGTGCCACTTTATAAAAATAGTACTTTCCGTTCACACAAAAACCAAGTAATCCTTGTTCACTCGCCCGAATCCGAACGGTTTTGTGGGCGGCCTGTATGTCTAATGTGCATGCGGCTATACAGCCCGACACACCCCTCAGGGGATACACTGCCCGGATGTCACCGAGACCGGGGAGAAGAAAGCGCTCAGGCAGGTGGCAGCTAGGGTTAACCCCACTAACCGATGGGTCCACAATTAAGCGAGGATCTCTAGAACCACTTTTCACTACATTTACTTTGCCTACGGCGACCCGGGGCCATTTGGCTTGGGCTTCTTCGAGAGAGTCGAAGACGTGCACGTAGCCCTTGTCCACCTCTTTTTGCACAAGTTCCGCCAGCAATTCTGGCTCCTCATTGGCCCCGGGCCAGTTGCCCGAACACACTTGCACATCAAAATCTTCTGGATCGAAATGCGCTGGGGTAGGCAAGAAACAATTGCTCATAGAAATGTCACCATCAACGCCCGTTGGCACCCCAGCCTGCAAGTCCTTCCAAAGCTCCACATCACGGTCGTCAAGAGCCTTGCTCAGAAGCTCAAGCGCCTGAAGACAGTAAGGCTGGTCGGGCGCGACCTCCCATGAAACTGAATCCGTGAAGCCCTGAGCTCTAAACCAATCTTCCCAAATCGATCGCAATGCAGGGAGCTCATGCTGCTGAATGAGAGGCTCTTGCGATGACTCGCTGACATGTTTGCGAAGGCGATCAAAAAGTTTATGCTCTTTGAAAAACCCCCACATATCTTGACGCAACTGGCGGAAGTTATCCTTTGACCCCGCCGGAGGAGAAGTCCAGTCGGGCTGGCTGTAAATGCCGCCGCCATCCTGCTGGCCAGTCGGGAAATCGTTCAAGGGGCGAACCGGCAATGCAGAAAGTGCCTGATTCAATGACGTGAAGTCGGTAGCATGTGAGTTCTCTGGGAACAAAGGGCTAATGGCCTCCATGAACGCATTGCACAGCATGGGAGGGAACACCGCCGTATGCCGAGACACGAACTGGCCTGTGGCGTCACGTTTGCCGTGAAACGCAGCATGATGACCCGCAGCGTGCTGGCAAGTACTTTGCAATTGCTGTAAAGGTCGCCAAGTCGTGGCGAAGGCCCAGTAATTTGCATAGCTCGAACCATAGCTGCAGGCTGGAAAGCCTGAGTTACGGGCTCAGCCCAAGCCATAGAGTTACGAGGTTGTTCTAAGCTTACGTGATTGCCACTCTGAAATACAGCGTGCAAGAGCATGACTGCCCGAGATAACAGAAGGTGGCTGGACTGAACACGCTCCTGGGCTTCGGCATTGTTGGAGGGAAAGCCTGCCAAGCATTCCCATGATCGGCAGGGTGGCGGTCCGCCATCAAACTGCTTCACAATGCTGTATTCGCAGCAAGGAGGGGATGCGTTTGCAAACGCTACTGCACCTGAGTGGGAAAGCTTCAAGAGGCCATCGAAGATGCGATCATCGCGTAAGTCTGATTCCTTGTTATGTAGAATATCTATGGGAATACACGCCCAACCCCGACGTGCGGCCTCCTGACAGAGTGGTGCACCTGCACCGGCGAAAAGATCCAAGAAGAAAAGAGGGCGCTGCTGTGTGGCCACCACCGGTGGCAGGGCTGAAATTGGCGCGGTGGAACTCACCGCTGATGTGGCAGCTGACGCCTGTATCGGCGACACATCAGGAACTTGCGCCGGAGATACCTCCGGAAAGCCAAGTTTGGCTAACGTTCCCTCCGGCACATGGGGCAATGTGTAACAAGTGATGGACCATCTATTACCCACAAACGGCATCGTTTCGTGCCAGGCACAAGCTGGAAAAGAAATGGGATTCCGAAAAGTCTGAACTTCTTCGCCCTTGATCCAGTGCTGGCTGCCTGGTGGCTGGCGCCACAAAGTGCCTGTTGCTGACTCCAGCCACAATGCACCCCCCTGAAAGTCCCCAACGGAGACATTCAAATTCATGGAGCCCTCACTGCTTGCTAAATCCTGGTGAAGGCTAGCCACGCGGTTGAGATTTATACAAATCGCATTCCAAAATTGATCCGGCCAAAGAACCTTAAACAAGGCATTCAAACGGCGAACTACGTCGGGTTTATCTTGGGTGATGGAAGTAAGGACAGTGGGTTCTGAGGGCCTAACCCCAAAATTCCAGTAACCGGTGTCATCGTTGTCACGCGGTTGCAAGACAGCCCTTGCTGTATGGCACGGCGGCCAATCCACAGATTGCAAAATGTTCAAGATTGTGTCACATGCAGCTGAAACGGCCGACGACGGGTCTGCCACTGCGGCACATGTGGCATTCAACACAGGGCTCGGAGCATCCACTGCTGCGGGCCCCGGTGGGACTTCAGAAAACGTGGCCAGGGCACTACCTGACGAAGCACATTGTGGAAAACCAGAGAAATCAAGATTGGACTCCTCAGCATCAGATTGTGGCTCAAAGCAAACAGTGTGGCCAGTGTGCATGGGTTCACATGCCTCAGCCGCATGTAAGACCGACATGTCTTCGTCCGCAAGAACAACGCCCGATTGGGGCGACACCAGGGGCTGAGACATGCACCCCGCCTGTCAGTGGGGCGTTTGCTTGTGCTCAGCCGGACTGTGATCCCCGAGACACATGCGATTGTTTGGCAAAATCACCCCACACACATGTTCGAACTTGCACTGATCGCGAGTACACTTGCCCTGCTGAAACCCGGAGCACAGAAGGCGTTTGTTCTTGCCTTGCATCCATGAGGTACCCACTCGCAGGCCATTGATCATCAAGGTATGACGCTGGGAACCTTTGCCATCCTTAGAACCGCCCTTATTGCCCTTATCCCCTTTGCCGCCCTTGCCGTGGTTCCCCTGCTTGCCATCGCCTTTGATGCGATGCGGCGTCCACGGTTGCCATGGAATTTTTGGTGCGACGGCCCTCGGCATGAGCAGAACGTGAAGCTCGTTGCGAGCCACGACAACCTCGCGTATTGCCTGATCCATCGTCCAGTTCTCTTCATTGAATAAGACCGCGATCTGTTGCCAAAGCTGTTTCTCTGCGTTCTCGGCCTCCAATCTGTTTGGCACTCGCAACCCCCCATCCCGAGGCAAGTGATCGAAACACTTGACAAGAAATTTACGGTTCATCTCCCGCAGGGTGTAGAGGTGGGCGCCGTCTGCTAGCGCAATCGCCACTGCCTGCAAATGAAGCAGTTCTGCCATAACACTCTTAGCCATGCCCTGTGTGGGCAACTCTCTGCTGGGTATCTCTTCCCACAACAGATTTTCAAGCCGTGGGGCCTTAAGGGAACGCTCAAGAGACTTAGAGTCATATTGTTCTTCGGACAACCGCAACTTCCACGGTATCCATCGCCAACGGCGATCCTGCAATTGCTGATGAACCAATGACAAAAGTCGTGGTGATGGCATTATCTCGGGGCTTAATGGTTCCGAAGGGTACTTCTCACTGAAAGCCTTTATCATTTGGCGGACTGCCTCGCCACTGAGACGCTTCGGGAATGCCTCAGACCATGAAGCCTGATCGGCAAGCGCACCTGTGCTCCCCACGGGATTGGGCTTGGGAGGATCGGGTTGCAAGGGTGCCCCCGACTTTTGGCATTTCCGCCACAAGAGGCGAATCCTGGCCTTTACCAACAGATCGGATGGCTGAGCTGGGTACGTGAGGCCATCTAAGAATTCCTGAATTTCTGCATCAGAAAGAGACCCGAACTCATCTGGGGCAAACACAGCCACATCTTTCCAAAGAGACTCCGGGATGCCCGAGCCTTCCAATAAGGCCCGCATCGGGCTGGCCTGTTCAGCGGCTTTCTCTGAGAGAGCCAAGAAGGGGTTGGGTTCTGATAGCGCCATGCTCTTGTCTAGAAAGTGTATTTAACGAACGTGGAAGCTAAACGCAATGGAAACTCAATAAACTCGGAAACGCTCACACAAGTTACAGAAGAAACTTCGTGGTATGACTTGAAAAAGCACAACATGTCCTACCATGACCAGCTGAGCCAACAACCTTCCTGTTGATGTTCATTGAACAACAGTCACTCGCAGCACAGTCACCTAACCTGAGACATCTAACGCATGAGACATGGCAGCACACACAGCGACTACCTTGAGCGACGACCATGCATAGAGCGTTCTTTTGGCATGTCCGATAGCCCAGAGATCGAAGCTTCGACAAAACTACCAGCTACAAGCGTTGCAACGCCTTATGAGCACGCAACCAAGGAGTTACTCCGATTTGGCACACATGATCTTCGATGCGAGGCTGGTGTCCAGGACTTCAGTCCCCACCACTGGTGTCCAGGACTTCAGTCCCCACCAGAACAGCCACCCGAAACCCCAGCGCGGTGTCCAGGGCAATGCCCCCACCGGCTGTATGCCATATCCCAAGACGGGATAACAGACGGGCATACCGCCCTGAAGGTGTCCAGGGCCCGAGCCCCCACCACTGATACCGTGCCGACTCTGGCAACCCACTTATCTCATAGCCAGCTGAAAAAAAGCCAAAAACCCCAGGGCAACACTGTGTGCACAACTGAAGCAGCTTGTCAGCCGGCCGATGCAAAAATTTTATGGCAAGCTGGATGACGGCATAGCCTGGACCCGGGTGCGAAAGACATGGACAGTTGAAGATTCTTGCACAACGTGCCACATGCCGGACGCACGAGACCTGCCTTGCAAGGAGTGCCATGGGATGAAGGCATGGCCACATGCATGACACCTGATCCGCTTACCAAGTAACCAAACTCCTCGGGAGCGCCCAAAGATTCTGCTGCTGATTCCGAATCTGAAGACACCAAAGCATGCTCGTTCAAGAATGCATTATCTTCCGCCTGCGAAGTCTGGGCTGCTACTGTGGCCTGCGGAACCAGCGCCTGCTCGACCGCCACGGAAGGCACATGCTCTCCTGCTGCATTCTCCGGTACAGAAACATGCACTGGACCGAAAATGGGCGGAACCTCAAAAAAAGGCGGCACGGCTTCGAAGGTGCACAACGGTTGCTGAGGAATCGAATGAGCTGCCCCCCGCTTCTGCGGGGCAGGAGGCAGCCATCCGGCCCGTACTGCTGTGCAGACAACGGCCTGAGCTCTGAGCGCCCCCACGGTGTCTGATCTGCTATATAATGCAGCGCTGTCGAGGCGATGATGCCCCGCTGAGAGTCTATCCTCCTTCCCCACTGCCCGAAGGTGCATAAGATACAGCAAAGCCGACTTCAAGGAGTGCAGAGTGAAGACTGACTCCGCCCCAGTGGCGCAAGCACCGGAGGCCACGCACCAAGAGCGCAGCACTCGCAGCGACTGTGCGTAGGATAAGGGCGCAAAATCCCCTGTCGCCTCATCAAAACGAAACCAGACACAGTCAGGATCAATGCTGTCGCCATGCATATCGCGCAGTCGATGCCAGACTTCACCAAGCGCAACTAGCCAAGCTGAAACCCAAGTGAACTCCAAAATATCCGCAGTACCATGGAAACCCATAACCCCCGCCGCCAGCGGCATGCCCCTGCGCGTGGTTTTGGTCTTGAAGGCCTCTGCCCTAATGCAATCGGAACACACTTCGAAGGATGACCACCGAATGCGCTGGGAATCCGACCACCTCAAGGAGGCGTGTGCACACAAGAGCAAAGCACCCGCGTGACACCTGTCCTGCAAAGACATCTGAGCCTCCAAGAGCATCACCTCACAATATGACATCAATCTGATAGGAACCGGGTATGATTCTCTATGTGGTTGAACTCGAGGGGCAAGCAACATGGCCACGAGCCCATTGTAAAGATCAGGAAGGGGCAAATTGAGCATCCGACGGAACCATCGAAGGGCTTTGATGGTGTTGACGGGCTGAAAGTCGGCTGCCGAGTGCCCCCGGTGGGTCGCCCAAAGCATATCAACCAATTGCGCCTGATTAAGCTGATCAATTGCTGGCAAATCAAGCTCCAACCCTGCCCTAAAAACCGCTAAGACCGCCGTCATGTACCGCAAGAGTGTGGAAGGCGCCAAAGTGTTGAAGAACTTTTCAGTAAGCAAAAACTCATTCGTGGAGCTCGACATCTGAAGGAGCACATCAGAGTGATCCAAGAGAATCGGCTTGAGTTCCAACCATAAAGCCTGAGCCAACTGAAGCTTCTTGGCATCATGCTGCACTGCAAACTCCACAGTCCCACTGCCCTTAGTAGGCCTAAAATTCGTCCCTGCATGAAAGCTGCCACTGCTCATTGCCTCACGTCCTGCTGGGTTCTCAAGAACTGAGTGCTGCTGAGGCGGGCGAAGGGCACGCTTGCATGTCGGCCTGACAAATGCACTAGCCTGAGGTTGGGGAGCTGCTGCAACCGAGCGCTCGTGATGGAACAAGGACCTGGATGCCGGTGATGCATGCATCGCGGGACGGGGAGCAGGACTAAACCCGAGACCTTCCGAACTAACATGGTGCAACATTGTCGGCCGCATACACGGTCGAAGGGATGCAAAACTAGTAGGACGTACAACCTGGGCCGGCACAGGAATCTTTGTGCGCTTCAAGGGTTGCATGAGTACGGGACGGGGTGCAGGCTTATCCGAAACCCATAAACCCTTACTGGAGAAAATGCGCTCTGGTGCCATTACTTCATCAGACAAAACCCACTCGAAGGAATCCAAATCAAATGAAGACACACTTGGTGCCACAGCCGGCACGAGGGCATCCTGATCGCCTGCATTTGAATCTACCACGGAAACAGCCTCAACAGCAGAAGCATCACGCTTGAGAAGACGAGCAGCACGCCGGGCCCAAGGCGTGGTAGCCGTAGCACTGTCCTGTGAGTCAGGAACAAACGGCAATGGAGCCGCCACCTGTGAAGACTCAGCTGGCACCGCAAGAACATTTGCAGCTGGAGCTGCATGTTGCCTAGCCTGCAACGCCTTTTCAAGCAGAACAAGTGCCATAAAATCAAAAGTTGTCTCGAAGCTGGCTAAAGATCGAACGCAGATGTTGTATGAACCGCTCCAACCAAGTGAGGCGTCGTTCTGAAACCTCGCGCGAGGACTCAAGTGACTGGATCCTTTCCTCAAGATATGCTTGCGTATCGGTTAAGATCTGATTCTGCTCCCGCAAATGATTCAACTGAATCTGCAAGTCAAACACGTGGCGAGAGATCTCTGATACTGTGCTAATCGACGAACTCGGAGGATCACTGGCCGGGCTTGCTGCACCGGACGAGGGCTCCGCCATGCGAGACCCCTTTTGAGGATGCCAACTCACTACTAAGCAAGTTCAATGGAAAGTGAATGTTAATACAGTGTCTTACATAAAAAGACCAAGACTCATGAGTCGTTGACAAAACAAGAAGCACACAGACATGCATGATGCCTTTCTTGACCTTTCTCTGCTCGAGCAGCTTTGCGGCTAGATGAGCAAGAAGGATGAATCATCATGCGTTAGAACAAAAATGTAAAACAGTTTTGAGCAAGCACAAAAAGCGGCACGCCGTTCACGCAGGGGCTGGGAAGCGATTGAATAGCAAACACAGCGGCAACCTGGAGTGGAAGGGTCAGGGGATCAGAAAAAGTTAACATGCGTTGCAGGAGTTCACACCAAGAAGGACAAGTAGCCCACACCAGTCGTACAGGCGAAATCACGAAGGCTAAGGAAGCCGACTGTGGTAATATTGCATCGAGCCATCAGTCAAAGTGGGCCTAGCCCGCAAAGTAAGGCTGAGCGCAGAAAGGCACGACGCAGCTAAGGAGTTCGGAGGGAACCGGGGGCTGTGGCACAACGTGCTCGTGATCGAAAGTCCAGGCCATGCAGACGGGTCGCATCAGGCGACCGGGGTGAGCATCACAGCCATAATCTGCGCGAAGCGTTTGCAGCAGAACCATTGTCACTGTGGTGCACGGATGAACTCGGGACATCGAGCTGCTGGTGATCGGTGAGCAGCCAACAAAAGATGAAGGCGCCACAGCTGAAAAGCCGAGGCGTGTTTAAGGGCAAGAGGGCCTAGCAGGTGCGGGGGCGAAATTAAACCCTAGGACACCCGAATAAGGTTTGAATCCAGCAAAAGGCCACACTTTTGTAGCAAAGGAAAGCTAAGGGAATCTAGGCGGTACTTTGCAGAAGGGCAGGCTGGTCACGCATCTTATTTAGGCGCAGCCTATCATCTGGCCGGCGGGCGAAGCTCGTCGGGCAGCATCGACCAATGCGTTGGCATAGGATGTGAAGATTGACGGCGGGCGCACAGAGCCCGAAGAAGCAGTTGAATGCAGAGCACAGGGCGCAAGAGGTGGCCCGGTAGGGGCCAAATTGGCCAAATCTTACACAGAAAGCGGAATGGAGATAGCATGGCACCGCATGGCACAGGTGCGGCACCGTTGTGAGCACCACTTTGCACACCACAGTTATGTAGGCTTGTCTGGCATTTGTGAGTTTATGAATTGGCTGCAGAGAGGGGCTCGGTCACAGACCAACAAGCGGTGTGCATGTGCTGACACAGGAGTCCGCAGGCGTGCGCCGCAGGTCGACCGAAATCTGGGGAAGATGGCAACTCGGATCTCGGGCGCCGCAGGCACACAACTCGGCGCAAAGGGCCAATTGAGACACCTGGCCGAAAGCAAAGGACCCCAGCATCAGAGAGTCAGACACAATTGTTCGGCGCAGATCCAAGAAGCAGAACGCCTTGGCAGCATTGCAGGTAACACATGTTAAGGCTGCGCATAATTGGACGTGCATTCCACTTGCACGAGGGCCCATTGGCAGTGCCAGGCTCGGTCCAACAGCTTCCGAAAGAGGCTTGCGCAATCAAAGGACGAGAACATGGCGAGCTCGGACGAGCCAGGTAAATTCATAAAGTACCTAGACTGCACAGGTGACGAAGTGTCTGGGAAATC